GTAAAGATTACATTTTTTGTTTTTCAATTAAATTATCTGGAACAACCACTCCCTGTTTTTTATTTTATTTTATGCTGTTATTTTATTTTACATATTAGCTATTTAGCATATTTTATTTTCTTTCTCTGCTTTTGAGAGTTATTTTCTATTTAGAGAAAACTATAACAAAAAAAGACAAACACCTGTATATCGCATTTTAAATTATTATGCAAATTGTATTTAAGTGTCGTAAAGATTACATTTTTTGTTTTTCAATTAAATTCATGGATGGTCTTCTGTGTCCGGTCTATTTAGTGCAATGAAATGACCATTTTCAGTTTTTTACAACCTGAAAATGTTTAGAAATTTTTTGTGTGTAGTATTTTGGAGCAGTGCCTTTTAAGCATTTTTAATACAGTTATTATTAGGATTTTTTCCAATAACATTCAAATTATATTCAAACGGTTAATGACTTGAAAATCATGCTGTCAAGTGCAATGACTGTTTAGGAAAATCAGAGAAAAATATTGTTTGCATAACAATTTGGAACACAGCGCATTTGTATGGAACACTAGCCTGGTTAAAACCAGACTCTCATCCTTCACTTTGCTTCATACGAGGGTCTGGACTCGCAGCTATAGAGAAGTGATTCTTGCTGGAGGCGTGGCCTCTGCTGAAGTTTAAAATGATTGGATCAGTTGGCCGCGACGTATGTCGCTGTGACGGAGGCTAAGCTAAGAAGCTAACCGGAAATGGCGTGTGCTGTAAACAACCCTACTGAGAGGAGAAATATACCGAGCCGAGTGAGACGACTGTAAATGAGAGCTGCTGCTTTGTCAGACAAATTTATTTTAATTTGGAAGCCTTATCAACACAGACTGGCTTCATTCACTTCCTCCACTGCCGTATGCTAAAATTACTAGCAGACACTGCGCAGAAAAACAACGTTCTGTTCTCTGATTGGCCCGGCTAAAAATCTCCCAAAGAAATCYTTGTCTATGGGAGAAATACCAAACGGAGCAGAGAAGGGAAACTAGAATTGAGCGGAGCTGCGTAGGAAGGCAACAGGCTCTTTAGGATTAAATAATATATAAATGAATAATGCAACAACACAATTGTGAAATAACAATGCACACAAAATAGTAAGCTTGTAATAATTCTCTTAAAAATATGCTCATTATTATAAAACATTATTTCACAATGACATTTTTCCCAATAATAAAATTATTTTGAGGCATTTTTGGTTGATACCATTAGTTTTGTTCTTTCCACATTGTCCTTTTCCCAATGGCTCATTATGTCATGACACTTTTCAGCAGAATGACTTTATCTGTCAATCAGCATCAGTGAGTTTGACCTACATTACCATTGGCTGATCCCTGCATATCGATTAGCTCTCCTGAAAACCTGCTCACTGTACAGCTAGCAACAACTTGCTAGGTCAATAAACCATGAAAAATAGGTCAAGGGTCATGAAGGATGGCGGAGTTGCACGCTGTGCTATGCTTACCTGAGCTGCAGCTTTAGTTTGATCTCCATACCTCATGTTTAGGAGTATGCTCTGCAGCTTTAGTTTGATCTCCATACCTCATGTTTAGGAGTATGCTCTGCAGCTTTAGTTTGATCTCCATACCTCATGTTTAGGAGTATGCTCTGCAGCTTTAGTTTGATCTCCATACCTCATGTTTAGGAGTATGCTCTGCAGCTTTAGTTTGATCTCCATACCTCATGTTTAGGAGTATGCTCTGCAGCTTTAGGCTTAATTTGATATCAGTATGTGATTACTTTAGTCTGGGTAAAGGAACAGCCAATCAAACAACTGCTCTGCCCTGTTTCTCTTGATTAATAGATAATGTTGTTCTGCCAAAAAAGTATCATTAAGAAATAAATAAGCATTTAATTAAAAATTAAATAAAAACGTCACAAAAATCATTTCTAATATTGAGAAAAATAAGCCACTGTGAAATAATATTTTTCTAATTATAAGCTTAAATGTGAATATGCATTGAGTTGATTTAAGATTACATTGTTGCATTATATATTTATGTATTATTTATTCATAAAGAAACTTACTTAATAATGTTTTATTTAAATCTAGTGTTCCATATATTTGGTGTTTGCTTCTCTTTCCTGTTATGGCATATCAAACCATGACCCTCATACCCTGTATGCACCAAACAGTGATTTAAGCGTACACTTACAGCCCTTGCAGTACAAACTGTAATGTTTATATCTTTCTTCTTCACCAGGTGAAGAAAGCACATTATTCTTACCCCAGACCTGAGGTCCTTGAGTGTGTGTGTGAGGATGATGTTGAACACGGCGTGGGATCTGCTGCTCTCCTCGTTCATGTTTGTGGCTGCCACTGTGCGAGATTTATTTCCTTCTGACATTAGAGACTCGATGTCCTGTAGAAAACATCCATCCCAAAAGCAATGTCACTTCTCCCATTTGCAAAAGAAGAAATGCATTTTATAAAAACACTTTGTTCTTGTTACCTTGTAGCTGGTCACGGCCAGGCGGGACAGACCGTCAACATAAGGTCCTAAAACATTGTGTTCCCTCACTCTCAGGGCCTGTCGACTTCTACAGAAAAAGAAGGAAAAAAATCCTGCCTTTTTTATATTTTATATGCACATACATAAAATTGAATTGAATAATTTAATAGAATAAAGCCTTAATGATGAATTACATTAAATGTTATTTAAATCAAAACTGCTTGTTTGTGGCTCCATGTTTAGAAGACAGCAGACACAACATCCTCACCCTTTGGGGTCCAGCAGGTCTCGGACTTTCTCGTTGTAAATCTCCATGTAGGAGACCTCCACGGTGAAGGTCTCTCCCTCGCGGGCCTCCTGCATGGTTCTGTTAAACAGGGAGCTGCAGAGACGAGGGATCAGACCAGGCTGGTCTGCTGAACCCATCATGGTGTACGACTTCCCTGAACCTGAAGACATGAGGTTTACAAACCAACGTATTGCAGAGGAAAACAGGCCAATGAGACAAATATAGATCTTTATTGTGTTTTTGAACAGTGACTTCAAAAATGAATACAAAGCTGATGTTTTTTTTTTTGAGAGTCTGATAAATAACATAAGTTTGAAGGGTATATGAGCCAAAAGGTAGATCTAAAAAACCTAAAAAATAAGCTCAAGATAAAGATAATCTTTTCGAAAAATCTGTTTGAAAGGTTTTGGGTTTTTAACTGGTACTGWTGAGTAAAAAAAAACTAATATGATCAGGATGAACAGATACAAATGTTATCTTCAAATATTCAGGATTTAACTTAAAGAGAGTTTGATGTAGAACATGATTAAAGGCCTAACAGTCCTTGAAGAACGCATGTCACCTGCTGCCCTTAAACTAAAATTATCCTTTGAGAAAAGAGAGTTACAGCCACATTGGTTAAACCGTGTAAATTATATACAAAATTTTGTACAAATTATTAGCAACTAGAATGTGTGTCTTGAATGACTCTAAGCTACTAATGTAACAAATTTTAGCTCAGTATCTGTAAAACTGACCGAGTCATAGCTATTTTTATGTTGGTAAAGATCAATTCACCATGGCGGCCATCTTCAACTTGTCTGACTCTTAAAGGTTGTAGTATATTGTATGCATATTTATTGACTTTTATTAAAATCTGTCCAGTAATGACAGTATCTCCTGTGTTCAAATCACTTTGTATGTGCTGTTCCTACTAGTCCTAAACACTGTGAACACACTTGGAAATTGGATCTAAAATAAGAATAGCAGACAGCTCTCACCTCTTCAGAAAAAGCACCAGCAGATATTCAAACGACGTGCTTTCAGTGTTAGAAATGAAAAATGCAGAGCCGTGTCTCTCTGGCACTAATGGATGTTTAATTTCAGGCTTCTTTCTATACAACTGGTTACTGAAACGCTAAAAAGTAACCATTGGATGCACAACTGCAACTGAATACCTTTTGGAGTTAACACAATTCAAAATGGTCACCACAACTAATCATCCTTAAACACAGGAATAACTAGGTCTTTGTGAATTTTACATCTATTGATTTAAGGTTTGGCGTGGTAGTAGTTGAGAATTATTCATAACACATGCTCCGAGTACTAACAGATCCTGCAGTATCACATGGCCAAAACTGTGTAATTTCTCATTACAAGATGAATTTAGTTTGAAATTCTAGCATTAAAGGCAGCAGGTGATATGCATTTCATTAGCAAGAGCCAGGACTGTGATTTTGGTGGAAATGCTGCCCCCAGGCTGCACTAAAGGTGCTACAGTAAGCTGCTAGTGCTGTAGTTGGTGTTTGCAAATGACCCCAGAATTCTATGAAAGTAAATCATATGTGGTTACCTGTCTGCCCGTAAGCAAAGATGCAGGCATTGTAGCCCAGGAATGCATTGTTCAGCAGACTCTCTCCAAGGCACTGGAACACCACATCCTGACCTGCACAAACATCACTAATCACACACAAGTCTCCAAAAACATGAAAAACTGTTAAGATATTACATCAGAGACAAAACTAAAGAGAAAGAATGCTGACAAAGGAAGGAAATAAAGAGAACCAAAACAGCTACAAACTGTTCTCCTTTTCTTGTTGTTAAACGCAGAGGCCCAGAACAAACATGGCTTTTTACTGAGAATAAATGTTTTTGATTCACTGGTGAGTTGAGAGGATGAATAGTCCTCCTTTTTAAGACCCCAACACACAAAACTAAAATAGAGGTAAAGAGTGTTCAACTCTATAAGCTGCCACCTCAGCATATCCCCTCCATGAGCTCCATAAATRGCTCCAAATAACAGGAAGCAATATGTCAGGAGATAAGATGAAGGAATGACTCATCAGCCAGTTGGAGTTAAAAACAGCCTGTGCCACCTCACAAAGAGCAGTAAAACACAATAATACTGTGAAAATGTACAAACCTGCAAACTTGTCCTTTTGGGATTCATCCATGGACCAGAAACAGTAATCGTAGGCAAAAGCCTGAAGAAAACGTCAAGAAAACTCAAAACTCAAACATCAATTTCACCAAAGACTCAATTTTAATCTAAGTCTATGTTTTTTCTCAACATTTACCTTTGGTTGGTTCCTGGGTGAGGAAAAGAGACAGTTATACTGTTATTAGTTGAATAATTGCAACTGTGATTGTTTTTCTAACAGTAACAATGCTAAATATACACACAACCATTCTAACTCAAGAACATAAAAAAATTAAAATCATAATGTGGTCTTGACACTAGCTAAAACTGGATGAAAACGTTTTTTTTTTTATCTTTGATGTGTTTAAAGTTGAACATTGAATTAAAACAATTTAAAACCACTGGCTTCCCAAACTTTTTATGGTGGTTGAAGTATATAACGAATTCATACTATCAAATAACCACAGAAACTAGGGATGCACCAATATTAAAATTTCAGCCGATATCGATTTTCGATATAATTATTGCTGTTATGGCCGGTAACCGATATTTACTGATATTACACAAACACACAAATTATATTATACATATACACACAAACACACTTGGGTCTTTTTTTTTTTTTGATACTGTAAATAAACAACCAGACCTCTGACATGGCTCCCTACTTCAGTTATTCCTGGCTGCACAGCATCAATATCACTATTATGGTCAAACAGATGCCGCTCAACCAACCATCTCCCCTCCAAAACAGAAACACAAAGCCAAAAAGTGGGAAATTAATATTGGATGTTAATATCGATGCAGTCTTACATATTCTAAAAAATGACCAATATCGGCCGATACCAATATCAATACCGATATATCATGCATCCCTAACAGAAACCTATGAAAATAACCAGGTAATATGAAGTTATGGTGGTATAAAGGTTTCTAAATCCTTAAATCAATACTACATTGTTGAAGATTGGAATTGCTATATGACAGCAGCAATCTGGTCAGGTTTCTTTACTTAGAGGCAATGCCAGCAGAGATGGTGGCAACAGGATAAGTAGCTTGAACCTAGCATTATCAACGTAGCGCTCTGCTACCGCTACCCCAACTCTACCCCAAGCTCTGTGGGGCAGGAGCTCAGATGCAGACAGAGGTCCAGGGAGGAGCTTTGGGTAAATAGGCGGCACTTTGTGTGAGGAGGCGTTAAGGAACCATCRAACGGCTACCACAGGAAATTCAAGGATTTCTCAAATATGCATGAATGTGTCAAAGCAACACTCCGGGTGTGTTTTTGAAGAGGGAACGTTATACATAATATAAAGCTTTTTGCATAACACTCCCCCTTTAATGAATCATCACCATCATCAGAGCTTTTTATATATAAAGAAATTGGGATGAAAGTGACTGAACTGCAAGTTCTTCCAGTATAAAAGATCCATGGTAAGAAAATGTTTTTTTATTTGTTTATTTTTTACAAACAAACCAACTCTAACCCTCTTGAAGTAAAAAAAAAGATTTAATGTTGTCAGATCACTGAGCTCAAACAACACTACTGCCAACAAGCTTTCAGCACAAACAAGCAGAGTTTTAAAGTGATCCAAGTCCAGCTGAGGGTCAGAGGAATCAATGGGGGTGGGGGGCACTCCAAGAATACAGAGACCAAGCTTAAAAATCTGTCAAGGTTATTAATCCACTTAATGTGTTATTATTTAATGTGAGGAACGTGACGGTGAGTAAGAACCTCACAGCCTTCCCAAGTTCCTGACATGTCGACTCTCACAGAATCTGTAAATTTTTTATTTATCACATAAAACTGTTGCTGTTTTCACCCCAACCAGAATAGCATCACATGCATCAGCAACCAAACATGTCAAGCATTCCAGCAAGTTTATGTCAAATTTAATTATCCAACATGTTCCACTCTCATGAGGACACTCCCTCTGTTGCATTTCTGCTACAACTTTACACTGACCACTGGTCAGGTGGTTCAATTTGAACGTTTACCTGTATAATGAGCATTTATAATCTGCGACTGTGGAAATGAGGACAATAAAACTTATTTCTAGCAGCAGAGCGGGTTGGTTGATGGTTATTTAATAGTATTTATTGTTTTTTTAATGTCCTACAGGCACTGACTCTTTCATAAGAAAGCCCAGGCCAGGACCTGGATGTATTCTGGCCGCCTCTGTGTGACTTCTGAATGTACAGAGGCAGAGAAGGTGGTTGGAGTCAGCCCGCCCACAATGCACCTCTGCGCTGTTGAGCGGGGTATTAACAGAGGCAGAACCTCTAATGTGAAAAAGTAAGCCATGGATCTGTATTGTGATAACTGATAACAATAATATGCAAACACCTGCAAGCAGGATGAACAACAAACAGATTTATTACAGAGGAAAAATCAATGACCGGGCACAGCAACTGTGCAGTTAGTTTAACAAAAACAGCTACTAAGAAAATCACTGAAGTGAGTTGTTTCAAAGTGTTTTGTAAACGAAACAACAAAGACATCCATCACACATTTAAATAGGGCTGCAACGATTAATCGATTAATCGACGACTAATCTATTATTAAAATAATCGATGACTAATTTAATAATTGATTAATCGTTTCTTTTTTTTTTTTGTTCTTTACTTTGTTTTTCTCTCCAAACTGCTTTGACACCTTCCACTGCCACATCTGCCTTTCTGTCCTTGACACACATGCACAGTAGTGGTAACTGGGGTAGGCCGTGGACGTCACAAGACATTAAACAGACAGGCTCTGGTATCATGGCTACCTGACAACAGAGCTCAAAGTGTGGGATCATTTTAAGAAAATGAAAGAGAAACCTGTGCAATTTCTGCAGATCAGAACTTGTCTTCCACAGCAATTATTTTTAGTTAGCATATAGCTAAAATCTAATGATGGTTTTATAATAGCAGCTAAGCTGTATGTTTTATATTCAATTAACGTATGATCTGATTAGTCGACTAATCGAAAAAATAATCGGTGATGAATCGATTATAAAAATAATCGTTTGTGGCAGCCCKAGGGTCAAACAATGTTTTAGTCAAACAGAACCAACAAGAATGAAACAAAAAGTAAAGAATTAGAGAAAAAAATAAATGTTAAATGTAAATAAATTCTAATTATAAGTTAATAAAAGTTTTACAACTAAAAATCATATTTTACTATTTTAATCTATTTTCCTCATTCAGCAACCTATTAAATTTCTGTTGTTTTATGTAGGAGAAGTACACATTTTTTTTCAGTCAGTATTTAACACAGCTGGCAAAATAAATTGTTAATATGTATTATGTGGTTCTGTTTTTTAATTCAAGAGATTATAAAAAATCCTTCATTTTATGGGAAGACCCTCTTGATTCAAGAGAAAACTCAGTTTTTTTTAAAAAATGGCTGCTTATTAATTAATTGTTAATCAATCGATAAGATAAATCAACTTCAGATTAATTCATTATCGATAACTTGCATCGTTAAGGAGTTAACTTAATTTATATTTACTCATTTTCATGTAATTAGGCGTTTTAATGATTTGGCCGATTAATCAAAAAGTAATAACAGATTAATCGATTATTAAAATAATTGTTAGTTGCAGCCCTACATTTAAAGTGTGGCGCTCCACAACAACCTAGCTGAGACCCAATCCACGGCTCTTTTAGTTCCGCGAAGCCCGCTTCATTTCTGGAAACTCACATCTGTGCGGGACCTGGGCAACTCCATCTTTGATTTTTATACAACCAGACCACACAGACCAGACCAGACAACACTAGACTAGTCTGTGTGGTCATTTTATGCAGCAGTTTTATGAAAGAGCCAATTAGCTCATGCTATAATGTCTTGCATTTGTTTATAATTAAAATATCTCACAAAACAAAAAGAAAACAGATTTTATTGAAACTCTCAGTAAGTAATCATTGGATGTACAACTGGAAAACTGTCCAGCTTGGCCGCCAGAGTCACCAAACGTTAGAAAACACAAAAATTGTTTAAACATAGCCAATGTTACAGATACTGAGCTCAAATTTTATGTGGTAATAGCTGAGCGTCATATCTAACATATACATGCTGTTAGCACTCATAACATATGAGCATGGTCTGTGAAATCATTCATAATATTAATTTAAAGTTTGACCAAAATAGCTTTACAGTTCCATAATTTCTCAACATAATATGATGTTCAAAAAAGGTCCAAAGGATCTACTTAATCTTTTTTTGATTTTTCTACCTGGAATAATTGAGATGCATCAGGACATAATATGATGTTAGTTTAAAACTGTCAAAAGGCGGCTGATAAGCATTCTTTCAGGGATTACTAGGCCTTTAATTGTTTATTGCATTTACACAAAGTGTACAAAATATTCCTTTAAAAGGGGGAATTTAGGAACAAAGTATAAAAGTTATAAGTTTGATGCAAACTGTATTTAAGTATAAATACTATTTATTTGCGAATTGATTAGTTTTTTTATTTCTTTTCATGAATGAAATGCCACAGCAACATGGAATTTCAATTTAACTGGTATAATCTCCTGAGAAATCTCATTTTAAATGAGTTAAGGCACACAACTAAAAAAAACATTGCCTTCACTCAAGCAGAAATATCAATTTGGGGTTTTAGAAAGGCAACGACTTTGCTTTGGGGGAGCTGTAATGAAACAAAGCCTTCCTGTGTGAGAATAGGTCGTTGTGTGAAAGAGAAACATTAAAGTCCTGTCATCCCCTGGGCTGAAGAGGACATTCCTGAGATAACTGGCAGAGCTTTGGATCACCAAGGAATCACCTCAAGAGGAAGAGAAGGAGGAAAAAGGCAGATCACAACGACTCTGACCAACAGTTTACAGTCAGGATATCAAGTACTTTTAGAGTTATTTACACTTTGATATTTTAATTTTAGCTTACACAGAAATGTTCTGTTTAAAGCTGTAAAACTAGTCTTAAATCCTGCTGACTGTGTGTGTTCTTTAAATTATGAAAGCAGTAAAAGGTTTATATTAATCTCCAGTCTCTTGAGCCTGACAGCCCCTGCTGTTGTTCCTGTTCACAGCTACTGAGGGGCAGGGGGAGTTGTAACATATTAACACCCCTGAGGGCCACGCAGCAGACAAAGAGCTGACAGAGCAAAAACCTTTAACAAGTGGCTGTTTCCTGAGTTCACCAACAAAGTTCAAGACTAATTTT